AGGCACCCGACATCTTCTCCATGCCTGCTAGCCAATGTGTGTGTTAGTCTGTGTAATCATCCACACTGACTGGATCAAGGTCACAGGTGCCGTTTGAACCACTCACCTTTTCACTTGCATTACTGGTCACCTGCTTGGTCACATGAATCCAACTGTAGCTATGAACACAAGTTCAAGTTTGAGAGGGGCACTTGAGAACTGTAATCAATTTCCAGTTCAACGCGACTACGACAGCAGCCTCGTCCGCTGACAAAACTGAAGCGAGGAGGTAGAACTCACTTGATTAACTTGAGGCACAAAATGTTAAACTGAATTTTATAAAGCCAATACCTCCTTCAACTGCAAATCCCATGATCCCTATGAGGACTGTGGAGGCAATGAGTCCAGACATATCTGTAGGGTTTTTTGTATTCCCACCGCAGTCATTTTGGGAATTAAGTGGCTTGGTTTATTGTATGGCTTCATGACCTCACTCAATCAACTCCTCTTTCTCCCTCTCTCGCCTCTGTTCCTCTAAAGTAACAACCTCTGTCTTGTGTCTGATAGTGAAGGTCTCTCTGTAGACACACACACACAGCAGGATGCTCACACATACACCACACGGAAATCTCAGAGGCTATAGAAAGTAAACAGGATTAACTGGCTATCCCTCGCTCCACTGTAAACGGCCTGTAATGGCAGCACTGCTTCTAAATCCCTCCATCTCTTTCTCTCCCCCTCTCTCCCTCCTTTTTCTATTAAACATGGAGGTTAATCCTCAACCCCCCTTGTCCCCAGCGCCGTGGCCCAGGATAAGCTGTCAGAGCTGGGCTGCTGATACTCAGCTCTGCTCCAACAGCCACACAGTCTGGACACAGTTACATGAATGTGCTGTTTGGGTGTCTACATGTGCAATTTTGGGCATGCATGTCTGTGTGTGTAAGTGCAAACATCCATACCTACTTGTCTGTGCTTGCATGTCCGGATGTGACTGGAGTTCTTTTTATGTGCTGCCAAATTCAATCTGTCTCTCCCCTCCTTTTTTATACAATCCAATCTCTGCTGGAATAAAAAGCAAGCTCTGGAGGACCCTAAAGCAACAAAGTGCACTCAGCACTGGCCACAACAGCGCCTGACTGAGAGCCACAGACACAAACACACTGACCTATACCTTCCGGTCATCAGCACTGGGTATAATGGTGGTAGGGGACTGAATGATAATCAACAAACTCTTCACAGATGTCAAAAAAGTCAATGTGTGTCCCTCCTAGTCCTCTTTCACTCAACGCGGCCGACCTGCTTGCTGTGGAGAGGGAAAAGTCAATACTGTGCAGTTGGAAGAGGAGTCACAGGAACCAGAAATAGCGCCTGGAATGACCCATTCAGCTTATAGGTCGCAGCCAGTGTGTGTTTTCAAATAATGGGAATTAATGTTTCCCCGAGTTCTGTAATAGGTTCTAGACCCCTGTGAAGTAATTCAAGCTTTGAGGGACAAAATAATGAATCACTGCAGTTCCTCACCTGAAGGCCATCAGCTTATTTTGACCCTCTTTACACAAAAGAAGAGGAGGGCGACATCCAGGGGAGGAGAAGAAGGGAATAAAATAATAATTTCTACAATATGGTACAAAGAGGCTTAGACTTACAAGCCAACTGAATATTGAAGATTTATATCATCTAGCTGTCCAGTATGTTCAGCACCTTTAGGCAGAGCATCTAAAATTTAAATCAGTGTCACCCTGTCAGATGTGTCACTGGTGACACAAGTGAGCTGCAACCAAGTTTGGATGGATTAAATGACTTGATCCATGCAAAGTGAAAGTTCAAGGCTGCTGTCACTTGGATGACTCCATCCAGTATGATCCCTTTTTTTCCTAACCTAACATTAACATCCGAGTAATATGCGTTTGTTATCTATTTTACACACCGTTCAAGTGAGTGTACAATGATCCCCTTTAAAAATATGAATCTTTATTGCGTTAGGAGTACAAAGTATCTATTAGTTTTTGCACTTAGCACCTGGCGATGAAGAAGAAGTAGAAGAAGATTAACTTTATTAATCCCCGATGGGGAAATTAATTTTTCACACACACATTGGCCTGAAATACAATCTCACACACACAGGGCTCATAGATATGAAAATATTGAGAGATGGTGGACTGATGGGCTGCCACATAGCGGCGCCCAGGAGGTGAACTGGCACCTCAAATCAAATTAAAAAACAAAAAACAAAAACAAAACCAGCTACCCGTCCACACTCCACACTGTGGTCCATGCTGGATCCAGCAACCGTCCAGTTCCCAAACAGTGTCCCTACAGACTGAGCTACTGCTGTCCCAATTAATTGAAAGATGTGCATGTGTTTTGCACACCGACTGTTCAAGTACTCCAATCAAAATTAACTTGAAGAGACAGGATGCTGAAAGAAACTAAGCATATCTTTACAAATAATTACCACAGAGATGAGAACTTTTTCCTGGCTTTTGTCGTTTCTTTTGGTTTCGCATTGCAGAACCAATCCAAAGTCTTTAGGGCGGTGACGCACTATAGCTCCAGTTTACTTCACTACCAAGGTGAATGGGGGGGAAGGGAAGTGTGTCCTTGAAGTAAGGGTGTACGTTTGTTAGCGGCCACTCTCGCAACTACTTTGCATTTAGAAATCTCCAGACGATTACTAGGCCGGAGATGTCCGATTGTGTGGTATCGCGAGGCTATGACATTGGAGGAGCTTTCTCTGGTGCATTTGGTTCTGGAAGTGACAGTCCAATTAATTTTCTTTAGACAATGTTAAGTGACTCACCGTTGAGGCACTTCCATGGCTTAATGTGCATGCAACAATTTTGTCTGTTTTTTTGTTAAAAGGTACAAACTAATATAGATTAAAAAATGGTGCATTTTGGTGAGAAACATTCAATTTCCAAGCTCCAAATTCTGTTATGTGCACCATTCACAGTGTGCAGAAGCAAAGGGTAATGCTGTTTATGAAACTGATAATAACCATCTGCAGCATTCTGGATTAACAATGTCATGTTCTGTTGCTAACTGCAAGAAAGACGCGTTTTAAATTTGCTCCAGCTCCAACATTAGTGATGACAGAATGGCTACTTCTCCATAGCAATGACAACATAAGGCTCATCCTCTTCTAGTATTTAGTGCCATCCATCAAGTTTAAATAAATTTAAACTGATGCCCATAATGTAAACCTATAGGATCGTTCATTATCTGGGTGAGACTTGTGTTTCTCTGTTGTTGAACACTGAGGACATCAGGGAAAAACTACTTGTGAAACCAGCAGCTCCCTTTCACTTCACACCTCTCAACAACCTACATCACTAAGATATACCGTATGTGCAGCTTAGACTCTGGTCCACCTGGCTTTGTCGTAGGAAACCAAAGAAGGGAAAAAAAGACAGATACTTAGAGAACTTAACACAACAAGCTGTAACAGTGTATGGTAACGGTGCTAACCAAGCAGCAGTACCTATATGCTATATGCTGCCTTTTTTCATTTATAATGCATAGTGTATATAAGGCCAAGGACATTCTTAACATTGATGCGTTTTGAAAAACAGTAATGTACAGCGAGTGCTATATGGGAGCAGAGTTTTACCTTAAGCGGTTACAGTCGTAGATGCCCACATAAGCCCACAGCTCTTTATCTCAGCGACAATGGTTGTTAATGCATTATTACTTAGCACAGACAACAGCTCCTTTCCATCTCCCTATCTCCCTTTCTCTCTTACTCTCTTTCTCTCTCTCTCTCTTAGTTCTGCCTGCCAGCTGAGACCAGACTGCCTTTTCTGTTTGGTTGAACATTTCCTTCCCAAAATCCTCCATTCCTCACAATCACTTTCCATTTCTGTGACACCTGGAGTTACCCTGCAGTGCTTACTTAGGATCTGCTTTGCTGGCTCCATTTTCTAAGCAAACCATTAAGAGGGAGAAAATCACAAGAAAACTCCTATAGATTCTAGCAACAACTATTTATTCTTACTCCCTGTTGATTCACTGTAATCACTCTCCTCATGGGCATTAGGTGCAAGCAAACATGGAGACGAACGAAAAGCCAAGGCTGCAGGGAACATTTTGTGACCACAACAGCCAAGGAGCTGTTGCATGAAGTGAGAACAACAACTGAAAGTGTTAACAAGGTGAAAAGAACGGTGAAGAAAGTGATAAAAGCAGGGTGCTAAGGAGGAGGAGAAGGAAAGCTGAGAAGAAGACAAATCAACTGAAAATATGGCTAAGAAGAAAAAAGGGTTCAAGAAAGTGGGTATAAATATTAAATTGGGTTAGATGTGCGTTGAAGGAAAGTATGAAATCCATGGGGTGACGATGTGGGGTGTTACAATTAATGAATTCGGATCTGTTGGATAGAGAGAGTGGCTGTGAGTGGAAGGTGAACTAAGAGCTGTCTGGTCTTTGGATGTCCATTAGTGCAACACAGGAGCACTGGTCAATGAATTAGAACAGGCATTATCCCGAACTGCTAAAAAGCCTTCTTTAATCATGTCAAACACACACTGGAAGCCATGTGAACTATTCATAGAAACGCAGGTTGTGTGCTGCAGGCGGAATCACACACATGCAGACTCAATAAAATCTCTTTCTTTCTCCCGATGCCTCTTCTCTCTCCCATCACATGGAAGCAGCTCGCCGAACAACTTGACCATTGCTAGGTTTAAAACTGAAATAACATGGAAAGTGACAGCCAAACAACATACGATTAAACAAGCAAAGACGAACTGATCACAACAGCTTTTTATACAATGTTGAACACTGACGGCACTGCTCAGTCTGCACCCATTACCATTACCACAACCATTATCTCTCCATAAAGAACAATAAATCACAACCGCAACAGCCTGTTGTAGCTTACAGTAAAATCCAACTGACAGGGACGTCATCTAAATCCATACTACGGTTACTCATCAGCTTACTGACCTGGCCCCTGGTAGTAGTTGCCTTGTTAGCCCCCCCAAGTCCCACAGAGCACATCAGGCTATGCATTAGTGACTCACCGGGTCTTTAGCTTGCTGCGCTAACACTGCGTAGGTGGATATCCTGCTGCACAGGCATTTGGTGTGGACAGTGGTTGACGCGAGCGTTTGGCAGCCTTCTGTGCCCCAGTTTTCTGCGCCAGCTTCCCTGGAGGTGGGGAGAAGCACATGGGATATAAACAGTGACTGTGAGACAAATACACACAAAATAAACTGTCACATGACTAAACACGTTTAGGCTATAGGGAGTTCCAGCTCTGAGGGGGTAGGGGTTGAAAGAGAGACAGAAAGTTTCAGAGGGTAGACTTTTTTTTCACCATCAAGTTCACCAAGTTCCCCCATTCATGCTATAGGTTTAATATGCAGTGATCACCACTCACGCACACTGACAGGCTCTTTTACTCCGCTGGCATTAGAAGCCAATGTCACCTCACTTGTTCTCGAGTCCGTGTTTAGCACCCTAAGCGCTTTCTTTCTCATTTTGTTATGTCTTTTCTTCTTTGTATTCCATCTCCTCTTTTCTTTGGAAAAAGACCCTATGAGACTTGAGGCCTTGTGGACAAATGAAAAGGGTTGCATCAGGTAACAGTTAACAAAGACTAGTGCGGCCTTAAATGGTGGATGGTGATTATTCAGCACTAAATTTCTTCGACACGCAACAAGTTAGTGGGGAAGAGAGTGCCCAGAATCTCATACAATAGGACCTTGTACACTTCATTACCCTACATCTTCCTTCACCCCGTACCCCTTTACCCCCCTCCATTTCCCTCTAAATGCCCTCAATAGAAGGTTGAGTGCAGAGGTCGATCAGTTTTAACTGATTCTGACTGAATTAATTACCCTCATGTTTAACCCCGGATATACTTCTATTCTAGCCACCAGAGACAGGTGAAGACATTACTGGAGTTGTAAAAGCAAATACAGAGATGTTCTTCAGACTTCATGACTGATGTGTAAATAGGTAGCAAGACAATCTACTTTTCACAATGAGTAATGAAATCCTACACGAACACACTATTGTAACAGTTTGGAGTATTTTATATGAAGAATTGCTGTATTTTTCTTACAAATAACACCTTGTTTGTTTATGTAACATTTCTCGTTGAATATTTGAGAAAGTCTTTGCTTTAAGGTATTAAAAACGCATTCGGTGACTGGTGTTTGTCAGAGGAGGCACATGCTGACTCCTTATGTCAACCAACTTTTGGCAGTAATTACGAAGCTCATTTATGTTGGACTGGAAATTTTGCAGCTGAGAAACACAGAAGTATTTTGTTGCTGTTTTCATACACAGAAGACACATTATATTTGTTAATTTTGTTCTTTCCTGTATAAAGATTTGTAGAGCACAAAAGATGAAATGTAATCATATTGCAGACAGCACGGTGTAGACTGTTCTTTCACCGCTAATGCTGTACTGGAGAACGTAATTACCTCCTCTCAAGCTAATAGCAATGAGCACCCTCAACAGCGGATGGAGAGAAAATGTAATAAAGTGTTTCCCATATAAGGGCTTCACCATATCAGGATTTACATAAGATTTGCAATCTTCATATCGCTCAATAAACTGAAAATATATGATCTTTGACTGGCAACATTGTATATCTGAGCATCGTTTACATCTCGAGGGAAGGCTTTGGTGACAGTTTGACTTCATGAGAAATGATAAGCTGGCTTGTTGCTTGGTGTATTTATGGTATCCTATGGAACAGTTTGGATTTTTACCCTGCCTCTAGGGAAATAACAGACAGATTAGAATCTACCAAAAAAGAATTTCCAAGATACCCTCCCTCTACATATAACCTAAATATAATAAATACTCCTGGGCTACTTCCCTAACTGAGATACAGTACATACTACATGTACCTGTAATATGGGGAGACGCCACAAGTAAAAATATCACATATTATGGTCTTTTTCATCATCATCATTGCACCAAATCTGCCACAAACCACACACTGGAGACATAAAAGCATCAAACTGAGGGTCTTTCCTTGCAAACATTTACCAGCACCTCCTGCTCTATGTTGTATGCTGTGCACATATGTCCCTCCTTATTTCACTAAACACTTTTTCTTTAATGTAACAATGAACACTTTTTTTGATGTAACAGTGAACTTCAAACCACTGAAAATCTATTTTTAACTCTTGTACCTTTTGTGCTTTTATTCTGAAAATCACAAGCGCAACCAGAAGTCTTGTTTTAATGCTACACGCACACGTCTACTCATCAGAAATCAAGTAGTGGGTGAGCATAGACTGAATGAACAAATAACTTGACTTAAAATAACAACGGAAAAAAAACATATTCATATTGCGAATGAATTCTTCTGCTGTCAATCAAATTAAGCAGACGAGCGGTAAAAACATACACGAACCACACACCAATGACAACATGTTAACGATGGCACTGCTGTACAGTGCCATCGTTAACATGTTGTACATCACTCAAAACTTCATATGCTTCTGCTATGACAGGCCACTCAAACATGATCAGTGTGGACTAAAATGACAAGAAGGTATCAACAAATGTATATCTGAAGGAATATAAGCACACACACACACTCATAAACACGCACAGCGACACTCAATCCATAATGTCAGTAATGAGATGTGAGTACAATTCCCCGATGATCATTATCTGCACACACTTCAAAGACGGAAGATCGGAAAAAACGAGTCACAGCAGAGAAGCCTGGAGACAGCTTGACAGGTAGCAACATGGCAAGCGGCTCTGTGTGTTTCTGTGTGTGCGTCAGAGAGACATGAGAGAATGACGAGAATAGAGTCTATGTGCACTTGTTACTTTGTATGAAGAAATCCCCCAAAGTGTGTACACTTTTGGGTTACATATAAATTTCCTATTTTACAAAACATGTGGAATCGACTGTGCTTACAAAAGATTCATCTGACGCTACACATATCCATGAATAGAAAACATGCAAGTTTTCTGTGTGAACTGCCAAGAGATGTCAAGTAAAGGATTTACAAATGGCTTCGTTCACACAAGTAAAACACAGCCATATGGACGCTGACTACACATGCATTAATGATTGTGTGTTAAATGGATAGATAGGAGAAAATGTTGCGTACCTAATTACACATGACTTATAGTATGGCTGATGCCGTTCATTTACTGACACCAACGGTCTAACTACATGTAGCACAGACACACACATATCAAGTATTCTATGCCAGTCTGGTAGCAAAGAGGATGTTGATGTAATGAGAAACTGTCTGACAGCTCACAACGGGGGGGCGCTGAAGATAACATCAACACACACGTGCAAATGCACATTATCTGTGACCTCTTTGTTTTAGCTGCTGAATTTTAAGCTTAATTGACTGCTGACCCTCATCTGGTTTAGCTGGATTGGATTGCTGGTATTGATGTCTTTCAGCACAAAACGCCGGCTTTGATTCACCCACAAACTTGCAACAAACCCTGACTTTGTTATTGTAGATCCACTACAGCTACTGATACACACTACTGCTGCGGGCCCCGCTGTGCTCATAGAAGTATTAGATTACCAGTTGGGCTTAGCTGGCGAGGAAAGATTAAAAGGACATGGCTTTTGTTTTACTTTTGTTATAGCATTTGAATGTGCCTGGAGCCGCCGGCGACTTCTGTTATCGTAGAAAACAGGTACCAGATGTACAAATAGGTGTACGTATCAGTATAGCTGGTTTATAGGCTATGGATCCCAAATGTATACTGCAAAGATATCAACCTGGCACTATGTAAACAAATGTTAAGATGTGTAAATATGCATAACACCATCCAGATTGCTAGCCTTGCGATAATCGATACATCTGTTGTTTGGTCTTGACTTTGACAAAGAATAAAGTTCTATTTAATGGATGTTAGAGTTGGCTTCTTTTTGACAGGTAGTTATCCCTGAGTGCATAAGGGGATTACAAAGTTTGCTTTGATCAACCTCAGCCAAAACCATATATATCATATATACTCAACCTGACTAAGAGTCTACAGCAACACTAGCAGCTCTGTGAGGCTGTACTTGCTCACAAGGACAATGCTAACATGCTGATGTTTAGTGGGTGTAATATTTACCATTTCCATCATATTAGTTTAAAATGTGTTGATAGGCTAGCATTTTCTAATTAGCACCAAACACAAGTACTGCAGACTCTAGAATGTCAATAGTTTTGCAGGTATTTGGTGATAAAACAAAGTATTATCCAACTTCTGACCTGATGATACAAACTAGATGAAAAGGTAAGGTTTCACCAAAAATATTACAATTCATCCTGTTGGGAACATAAATGTCTGTACAAATGTTTCTGTCAGTCTACATTGTAAATTTTGAAAACAATAAAAAATTAAAACTCTGACCTAGATGAAAAGTCAGGGGGTCATGAAAGAAAAAAAATTGCGGGCAATCCAAATTTTAGTCTGGTCCAAACTGTGTCACACTAAAAAGAATGCTGTGCTTGTGATGAAATCTACAGCGCTTAAGTATTATTTCTCAACACTGAGTGACCACTGCAACATGTTACAATGCTTTCCAATTTGTTCCCTAATTGAAAGTAGAATGATCTTGCAGCTGTTAAGAAAAATAGAAAAAAATACTTCCTGAACAACAGCATAAATTGACCTTTTATGTCTACTGAGAATAAATTGGCACCAACTCTTGACTGAAAGGGCAGCGCTATGAAAGCCAATTGTACCCTGTTAAGAAAAAAAAAAAAAAAGGTTCAACATGCTTTGAATTCTTAAAACTGAAGGGCTTGATGCAAGGATTTGATGCAGCTGTATGGAAGTAAAGTCCCTGAAAAGCAACAACTACATCTGCCTAGCACATACACATGAATGGTGACATGTTGCCAACGTCTCCCATCCAAAGCAATCTTTTATCCTCAGCAGGCAAAGATGACATAATGTGGGTAAAATAAAGTGGCAGAGAATGGAGAGAGAGGTGTCCACATTAAGCCTCACAACAGAGGAGCTAACATACTGTATGCAGGCAACATTCAATATCTAGTCACTGCTAAGCATTTAAACCAGTTTTACATGGGGAAATGTTGTCCTACATAGCTGTCACCGATGTAATGAGGATTAACATTATCAGCTAATTTTAGCTGCTGGCAAAACACTGTCAAAACTGATTTATGAGATGACTGTAGCCA